TGGAAGTGCAGGTTCAAGGTCATTGGAGTCTAGATTTTGTGCCTCTCCTACCTGCTCCAACACATCCTGGGATTTACCCCATCAGAGCACTTTTCACTTTTCATTAAAATCACCAGGTTGCCTTTTTCCCCACCCACCACTCTCTAAGCACTTTGAGGGCAAAGACTATGTTTGTCATGTTAACCAGTCCCACTCGCAGTGCTTGGCTAGGAGTCAGCACCCAGGACATCTGTTTAATTAATTACTGTGTGGAGTTAAGGAAATTAAAGTGCTCATTATGAGCACACTGCGTCAGATGTGAGTCTAAATGACACTTGCTGAGCGCCCATGATGTGCCAGGGACGAAGTTGGCCACCCCCATTGGGAAGATGGAACATGTTGATGTTGACACTGCCCAGCCGTGCTTGGGTGAACAGGAAGACAGTTGCCCAAGCCAGTGTGAGCCTGAGGGAGTGGCCCATAAACAAGCACCAAGGCACGGCAGAGGGAGAAGGACAGGAAGCTTGAGCTAGAGGAAAAGAAGTGATTTGCTATGGGGAATTTAGAAACCGGTTTGTGAAACCTGGGAAAGGTGGCAGCCTCCTCTAATTCCCATTAGAAGCAGTGACAAGGTGCGGGGGAGGGGGGAGGAAGGTCAGATTTCAGTTGGGGCAGAATTTAAACAAGTTCTCTGGGCTGAGATGTTTGAAACTCTATCTTGAGGGTAATGAGGAACAATTGAAGAGTTTGAAGCAGGGAAATCTGTCAAATTTGCATTTTTTAAAGATTTATTTATTTGAGAACACACACATATGCGCGCACAAATGGGGGGGGGGGCAGAGGCAGAAGGAGAAAGAGAATCTCCAGCAGACTCTCCACTGAGCACAGAGCCCAACGCAGGGCTTGATCCCAGGATCCTGAGATCATGACCTGAGCCGAAATCAAGAGTGGGACGTTTAACCAACTGAGCCACCCAGATGACCCTAGGGACTTAGGATTTGAAGAGAGTGTGAAATGTAAGGATGAAGACTTGCACGAGTCCTTTAGATAGAGGCATCTGGACCTCAGGAGGAAGGCCCAGGCTGACAACATGGGTTTGGGAGTCCCAAAGCCTACACTGTAATACAAAGTGATGGGAGTGAAGGAGATTACAAAGTGTGAGAAGACAACTGAGAACAGAACAGAGCTGTGGAGAAAGGGGAACCCTCTTACGCTTTTGGTGGGAATGCAAGCTGGTACAGAAAACAGTATGGAGGTTCCTCAAAAAGTTAAAAATAGAGCTACCTTACACCCCGGCTATTAAACTACTAGGTATTTACCCCAAAGTTATAAATGTAGTGATCCGAAGGGGCACCTGCATCCCCAATGTTTATAGCAGCAATGTCCACAATAGCCAAACTATGGAAAGAGCCCAGATGTCCATCGACAGATAAATGGATAAAGAAGATGTGGTGTATATATACAATGGAATATTACTCAGCCTTCAAAAAAAATGAAATCTTGCCATTTGCAACAACGTGGATGGAACTAGAGGGTATTATGCTAAGCGAAATAAGTCAATCAGAGAAAGACAATTATATGATTTCACTCATATGTAGAATTTAAAAAACAAAACAGGAGCATAGGGGAAAGGAAGGAAAAATAAAACAAGACAAAATCAGAGAGGGAGACAAACCGTAAGAGACTTTTAACTGTAGGAAACAAACTGAGGGTTGCTGGAGGGGAGGGGGGTTGGGAGATGGAGCAACTGGGTGCGGGCATTAAGGAGAGCATGTGACGTAATGAGCACTGGGTTTTTATATACAACTGATGAATCACTGAACTCTCCTCTGAAACTAATAATACAATATACATTAATTGAATTTAAATAAAATTTAAAAATTTTTAAATTTTTTATTATTTTGAAGAAAAGTTAAGATAAAAATAAATAAGTGGCTGGAGACTCTTGATTAAACATAACTGTAGTCCTTATCTCCCCTACCTCTCCAAACCTCCCTGACATAACATTAAAGAAATATAGAAAGGTGGGGCACCTGGGTGGCTCAGTTAGTTAAGCCTCCAACTCTTGGTTTCTGCTCAGGTCGTGATCTCAGGGTCATGAGATTGAGCCCCATGTTGGACTTAAGTTTCTCTCTCCCTTTCTGTCCCTCTTCCCCTCTAAAACATAAATAAAACCTTAGAAAAATAAAGAAATATAGGGGCACTTGGGTATCTCAGTCGGTTAAGCGTCTGCCTTTGGCTCAGGTCATGATCCCAGAATCCTGCTTCTCCCCCTCCCCTCTCCCCACTTGTACTCTCTCTCTCTAATAAATAAATCTTTTTAAAAAAAAAAGAAATATAGGGACGCCTGGGTGGCTCAGTCATTGGGCATCTGCCTTTGGCTCAGGTCATGATCCTAGGGTCCTGGGATCGAGTCCTGCATTGGGCTCCCTGCTCCTCGGGGAGCCTGCTTCTCCCTGCTCTGCAGGGAGCCTGCTTCTCCCTCTGCTTGTGCTCTCTCTCTCTGACAAATAAATAAAATCTTAAAAAAAAAAAAAAGAAATATAGAAAGGTATTAAGTCACAAACGTTCAGGGAAGAAGGCAACAGCAGATGAAAGCTGGACAAATATTTGGAAGGTAGAAGGCAGGTGGGAGAATGTTACCTGGCTTGAAACATCCTAAGAAATTACAAACTTAGTGCCAAAGGGGAGATTACCAACAAGAAGCAAGTCAGTTCACCCAGTTTAACCTCTAAAAAGCTTAGTGCCTTTAGACATGAGGTAAGGGGCTAAACACAGGGGGACTGGCTGAAGTCTGTATGCAGAGCACTTTGCCCCCACCCCAGAGCTCCTTTCTCAAAAACCACATGCCCACTCTAAACTCTCGTGCTGCATAAGGAGAAAGGAAATTGAATTCTGGAGGCCTTCATTCTCAGAGACCTCAGGCATAGTTTGAAGGGCAGGAATGAGAGATAGGGTAGAAAACTGAGTGATGGTGGGAAAGCCTACACACTGCCCCAGCCCCTCTCCCACCTCCACTCCCAGGATGCCAGATGCCAGGCATCTAGCAGCCCCCACCCTCTCACCACACCACACCCCCGGAAAGTAGAGAAGTCCAGAAGACCCCCAGGAGGCAGGAAAAGCCCTCCATTGACTGACATTTACGTGTTCTTCAATGAAAAGACTAGTCATTGCCCGATAAAGAAATTTCCAAAACCCAAAGGACACAGCACCTGATCAAAAGAGCCCACTGAGGACCTAGAATACTAAGTGAAAAAGACCTGCAACAAGATGCACCATCCTACCGTTTCAGAAAAGTGTTTAAAGCATCAAGAATGATAAGCCACAGTCCACAGCACACAAATCAGAATGACATCGAACTTCTCAACCAGCAACACTGGGGAGGCTCAAGCTGAGGGAAGTTTATTCCTAACATGGAATTATATACCCAACTGATATAACACAAGGTCAACACACTTTGAGACTTTCAAGGATACCCTTGAAAACAAAACAAAACAAGAGAGCAAACCAAAAAGGAGGAAGAGCTAGGTCCAGGAAATGGGACAGTCAGCAGAGAAAACTGGCAAAAGGAAATCTCAGGACATTTGTGTGCTAGGCTTAGTAAGGAACCAGTCCCAGCTGGAGCACAAAGACCAAGTCTGTGGGAAAGACGTCACCAGGGAAAAGATGGAACTGATCAGTTAGGGGTTGAACATTTGGAAAAATTGCTATGTGTTTGGAACATTTGGAAGAAAATAGCTCTAGGTACTCAGAAATCTAAACAATTGAAAAAAGAAACAATGATTCACCCAGGTAAAACCCAACTTGCAAGGGAAAGAAAATGTAATAGTAGTTTACAGCTTGAGAGAACAGTGTTTGTCTACCTGGTCAATAATGTAAAGACTAACTATTGATTTAACTATAAATTGTGGAAAACTATATTGTGAGGATAAGGGGAGAAAAAAATGGAAGTGCGCCTGGTACAAGAAGCTAATTCCTCAAGTGCCAGAGTAAGAAATACTGCCTAAAACAGGTTAAGTAAGGGTCATGTCTGAGTTTGCTGGGGCTGCCAACAAAGCACAACAAGCTCGGGGGGTGTGGGGCTTAAACAACAGAAACTGGTTATCTCGGGGTCTGGAGGTTCTGATCAAGCTGTCTGAGATCAAGGGGTTGCAGGATTGGTTTCTTCTGAGGCCTCTCTCCTTGGCTCCCAGTCTGACTCCAGATCTTATGTTCTTCCCCTGTACCACAAGATCGGGGGCTCCCCCAGGGCCCAGGCAGTGCCTCATCCCCCCATCTCCCACAGCACCTCACACAGTGCCACGTGACGGGCCTGCACTGCATGGTCAGCTGCATCACTGTGACTTCTAACGCTGCCATCTGTGGTTTCCTTTTCCGTTAAGAAAAGAGTAAGATAGGGAAGATCCAAGGAAACCTCAGGGCCATAATGGGGAGCGCCCAGCTGGAAGTTTCCCACCCTCCATGTCCTAGCATTGCTGGGCGCATCTCTAATGGCACTTTTTTTTTTTTTAAAGGTTTTATTTATTTGACAGAGAGAGACACGGCGAGAGAGGGAATACAAGCAGGGGGAGTAGGAGAGGGAGAAGCAGGCTCCCCGCCGAGCAGGGAACCCGACGCGGGGCTCTATCCCAGGATCCTGGGATCATGACCTGAGCTGAAGGCAGACGTTTAATGACTGAGCCACCCAGGCGCCCCTCTGATGGCACTTTAAATTTTGATCCTAGAAAGGGTCCACCCACAGCAGCGGCGGGGGTGGGGGATGGAGGGGTGGGGGGGTTGTTGAGGGTGGGGACAGCTGGGTGGGCACAGGGTGCGTTCCTGCCTTATAAAGCTAACTGTGGTGTTTCAATTCCTGTTCCCTTGGGTCCAGAACAGCCACTCATCCCCATTTTCTTGAGGCCGGTTTGGCTGTTGAAGGTGGCCACGGCCTCTGAAAATTATTCTCAGACTTAGGGCTATAATGTCATTCACAGTGATTGATGTCTGATCCTATGAGGGATTTTGGTCATTTTTGTGTTTAGGTTGATCCACAGTCATTCACCTGGCTGTTAAGGCTGACAGGATTTTGTGGTTGTCTCCATCCCCGAGGCTCCGTGGACGCCCTTCCCGGGAGCACATATCCAGTGTCCTCTGGGGAGTAGTGGAGGTTGGTGTGTATGTATGTCTGTCTCCGTGTGCCTCAGATTATTTCTTCCTAATAAAATTCTGTTAGCTGGGCCCCATCAATATCTCAAATACATGTGAGGAAACGTTAATTTAGAATCAATTTTAGGATGTTTCAGACTGTAAAGTCCTTTTAACTAGATCTCTGGCGAAGATGTAGAAGCACTTTATGGGACTGTAAATTTCATGTTGAACAGTCTTCGTGAAATACACATCTCCCCTACACACAAGCTGTTCTCTCCATATCAATCATGGTCCCTGCAAGTAATGTTTCACAAATATTCTGTAAATCACAGAAAACCCCATGAAAATGTGAAATATGACTTTCACTTGTCTGTTAGACAAAAGAATCACACATGCCTCTCTCCCATCAGCACTAACATTTGTTATGGATAATAACACTTTCAATCACAACTATTTTTGGAAATTGGGTTTATTTTAAACCTTCCCTCCCCCACTGAAAACACTCTCCCAAGGACACAGACTCCTACAAACCACAGCCCATTAATCCAACTACAGAATGGAAACTTTTTCTTCTTACTAACTTTTTTTTTTAAGTTGTTTTTAAGAGAGTTAGTATAAAAGCCCAAGGTACAAGGTTAAGGAGCATTTTTCCTTAGCTGATTGGTATGAGAAGGGCCAGGTCTCTAAAGACCCCCACATTTCTGGCCCTGTGTGAAGTGAGGGGTGAAAGGCACCCAGGTTTTTAGCAAGCACCTTCATCTCATCTGGTCCTTTAGTTGCTGGCAGCAGGGGATCCAAGGAGCTAAAACGTTAGCTCTTAAACATGAAGTCGACATTTACCACCTTGATATTCTTCACGCCATTACAACACAGCTAAATCCTCCCTGTTCAAGTAGGAGATGATCTGTTCAAGAGGTGTATTTTGAATGTCACAACATCTGCATGGGTGACAGAGGCTCACCCTGCCTCCAGCCAATTGCTGGAAAAGCAAAACCCATAGAGTAAACTACAGGACTTGCATAGTTCTAAATATTTTGGTAACCTGTCTTTTCCCTCCCTCTGTAGCCAACTTCAGGACTGACTGACCATGACTTCCATAAAGGAGCAGGCAGCAATTAGCCGGCTCTTGAGTTTTTTACAGGATTGGGACAACAGTGGCAAAGTCGCAAGGAGTCACATCCTCGACAATTTCATCAAGACCAACCAAGGCAAGACCTCTCCTGAACTGGAGCAGGAGTTTTCCCAGGGAGCCAGCTTGTTCCTGGTACGCTTGACCACCTGGCTTAGGCTCATGTATCCTTTGCCAAACAGAAATAAATTGGGCAATCTTCAAAGGAGAAATGGAACGGAGATTATTGGGAGAGCTCTTCTCTTGAGTCTCCCTAAAATTGTAGGTCAGGAAATCTGGTGATCAGAGTAGCGTCCAAAAAGTCAAGAACTCCCTCCCACTTCTGTCTTCCCGACCTACACATGTATCCTCATTCTCACCCCTAACCTCTTACGCTCCCATCAGATTTGGTGTGGATATTCCTTCTGTCTGGGGTTAATCCTCTCTGTCCTCAAGGACTTTATTCTTTCTCTCTGATGGCCTTCACTTTTGCCTCCTTACCAGCTTTTTCATCAACATTTACATATGCTCAAATCTCTTCTACCTTAAGAAATTAGATTAAATCCCCATCTCAAACCAATATTCCACCTAGTTCCTACCCTTCATGGTGAAGCTTCTTGAAAAGGTTATTGACTTTCCCTGTCTACGCTTCTTCACCTCCCTTTTCTCCTCCGCCCACTGCAGTCTGACTTCTGTCCCCTTCACTGATGCAGGTCTTGCCAAGGTTACTGCTGTTGTTCTAATTGCAAAACCCAGTGACTACATCCTTGGTCATTACACATGACCTCTCAGAGGCACTTGTCAACCATTACCACTTCTCAAAAAACTCTTCCCTGAAACTAACATAATGTTATATATCAATTAAACTTCAATAAGAAGAAAGAAAGAAAAAGAAGAAGAAAAAAGCACATATAGGTCATCACAAAAACAAAAAACTACCCACTCTTCCCTTGGTTTCTGGGATACCAATTCTCTTGGTTTTCTCCTTTCTTTCTGTCTTTTCCTCATTTTCTTCAGCCATCCCTGAAATGTGGATATTTCTTGGGACTCCATCCACATCCCTCTCCCTCGGTGACCTAATCCATCATCATGATGTCAACACTACTCCGGGTGAAGGGTTCTCAGTTGTGTACCCCTGCCCACATTTCTCTCTGGAATCTGAGTTCTATACCTATTAATCCAACTACCATCTCCACTTCTACCCCACAGAATGACTCTCATGTTTCTGGCTTGGGAAACTGGGTGAATGGCGTGCCATTATGTGGGAAGAGAATACAAGAAAAGGAGTTGGGTTAGTTAAGTCTGGTTTGGGACATGCTGTGTTTGAGGTGCCCGTGCTCAGGAGTCCTAGAGACAGATTGGGGTTGAAGACAGATGTGAAAGTTTGGGTTATGGGTGCATTTGAGGATATTCCTGCTCTGTGTGCCCACAGCATCCATGGATCATCCCAGATCCTTTTTTTTTTTTAAGATTTTATTTTTTAGTAATCTCTATACCCAATGTGGGGCTCAAACTCACAACTCTGAGATCAAGGGTCACACACTCCACTGACTAAGCCAGCCAGGCACCCCTCAGATCCTTTTATTATATATTTTTCTCCTTGCCTGAACCATCTCCTCTCCTCTAAACCTACTTCTTATTTGACTAATTCTTACTCCATCATTCAGATCTCAGTCTAAACATCCCTTCCTCAGGAAGCCTTTTTCTGAGCCCTAGACTAGCCTAGGTTCCCCTGTTACATATGCTCATGGCAGCCCCTCTGTCTTGATCATTATAACATTGTATTGTTTGTACCTGCTTAATATTGGGGCACCTGGGTGGCTCAGTCGATTAAGCGTCCAACTCTTAATTTCAGCTCAGGTCATGATCTCAGGGTTCTAGATTGAGCCCTGTGTCGGGTTCCGGGCACTCAGCGGGGGTCTGCTTGGGATTTTTCTCTCTCCCTCTGCCCCTCCCCCACCCCCACTTGCTCTGTGCGTGCGCTCATGCTCTCTCTCTCTCTCAAATAAATAAATCTTTTAAAAAAATATCTCGGGCACCTGGGTAGTGCAGTCGGTTAAGAGTCGGACTCTTGGTTTACTTAGGCTCAGGTCGTGATCTCAGGGTTGTGAGATGGAGTCCCGCATCTGGCTCCACGCTCAGCGCAGTCTGCTTAAAATTTCTATCTCCCGCTCCCTCTGCCCCTCCCCCCACCTCTCTCTCTCTCTCTCTCTCTCTCTCTCTCTCTCATAAATAAATAAATCTTCAAAAAAAAATCTCTCTTCCCCACTGGGTTATAGGCTCTGTGAGAGCAGGAATCACATCTGTTCTCATCTCTGCATTCCCAATTCCTAGGACCATGCCTGGCACGTAAGCGGTACATACTACATGTTTGTTCAGGAAAGGAAGGAGGGAAGCAGAGTCTGCCGCTGGGCAGAACTAAAGGCTTCAGTAACCACAGCTCTCTTTATCTTACAGTTACATCATTGATAAAATTTCTAATCGGACTCAGACCTAGAACAGGTCAAGGGGAATACCACTGATTATGTCTCTAGGTTGACCCCAATGTTCTCAGACATTAGAGTTCATACCAGAGGTTTAAATTGCAGATTACCAGCCTGCCTCCTCACCCCCACCCCACTGCTCTGATTTAGTGGACTGAGGGAGGACTCCTGGCCTCTTTGTTTCTGATAAGCACCCTGGGGGACTCTGATGCCTGTGGTCCAAAGATGATACTTTGAGAAACATCAGCACCTATAATTTGGCTTCCGCCTCACAACCTGTGATACTAACCTCACCAAGGTATCAGCAATGCCTTGGTCGCCAAATCTAGACCACCTTTTGCCTGCCTCATCTTACTTACATCGCCTCCCCCTAGCCCTGGTCCTGCTTGACCACTGCCCCTTCCCACGCTGTCCTGTCCCCCACCTTCTCCCACAGCCGGTTCTTAGCCTCTGTGGCAGGATCTTTCCTCCCCACCCCTTACGTGGTAGTTTCTCTTCTTAGTCATTGCGCTTACTACCCTTGGCATTGTATCATTCTTCCCCATCTCCCAAGTGCCAGTCAGAACGCCCTGCGTTCATGAGACACTTACGGCACGCTTATTGAATGACTGAAAGAACCATGCTTTCAATATACAGTCATGTGTTCAGTGTCTACACCTGACATTATGCATAGTTTCCTAACTTTTTGTGACCTTGTCATACAACAGAGAAAAGAGACGGGCTGAAGTGATGTAGTGTGTTAAACCAGTGAGCCCACAGCTCCTCGGCTGCCCGCTAGTTATGGTGGATTTGGAAGGAAAACAAATCAACATAGCATCATTATGTCTTGTAAAATTGACTACCACCTAATCTCACATTAGCCTCAAACCCCTTTTTTAACCTTGAACTTCCAGAAGAGACCAGTAAAACTAAGGATTTATATATTATAATGACAAAAGTATTAGTTACCATTTATTGAGTCTTTTTATGCTCTAGGCACTGAGCTATGTGATGTACAAATATTAACTCCTCTGAGCCGCTTGTGAGGCCTAATAGGTGATCGGCATTATCCCATTTTATAGATAAGAGACATGAGCTTTGAAAAGGTTGAGTAATTTACTAGTGAATGGCAGAGATAAGGTCTGAAATGGGTCTGTCTGGCCCAAAGCCCATACACTATCCACTCTCCTTCAGGCCTCCCTCCCCTGGGACAGGGCAGACCCACAGTTCCACCTCCAACACCATCCCAGGAGATAATCTGCATAAATAGCCCCACACCCTCCGTCTGTCTACAGGCAGGAAGGCCTGACCGGAAGAACTCAGACTCTGAGCTAGACTGCTAGGTTCAAATCCCAGTTCCAGCAGTTAACTCTGGGACCTGGACAGGTCATTAACCTGTCTGAGATTGTTTCCTCAGGAAGTACATGGACATATTACTAGCAGCCACCCCAGGGTGTGGTGAGGATTAAATGAGACAAGGCAAGCAGAGCACCGCAGTGCCTAGTACTAGTTAGCACCTGCTGAGACTGTGGCAAACTCCTGGAACTAATTGCTGGAAATAATGGACCAGAAATATGTGTAATGAGTGACTGTGAAAGCAAGACTAGCCTGGGACAGAGGAAAAAGAGGTGACAAAAGTTGGTGAGCCTGGCTGGCAACTGAGGAAAAGAGGGAGAAGGCAGGGAGGCAGGAATGGGGGCTGGGGCTCATGGGGAGCTGGGTGGAGGACAATGTAGGAAGACAGAGGCTACCCTGTGGGCTGATAACCTGGCCTCCAGCTGTAGTGGCAACAGGCAGGGGAGCCTGGCTCCAGAGCAAACACTGTTTTTGCAGTAAAGAGCCTTTCCTAATGAGCCAATCTGTCTCCACTTCTATTGGCATCCTGGGAACCAGGGTGCAGCAGAGATAATTTGCCTCACGCACCCTCCCCCCCAACAAAGCACCATTACCTCCAACCCATTACATTAGCCTTTATCAGTCTTGGAAGCTCTCAGTCATCCTCCATGAGCTGCAATAATTTCAGCTAATTTCTTAAGTGTTCAAAGAGCCTGTGATGTGTTATGAGCCTAGTAATTGTTGACTGTTTCCTTTTCTGTTGTGGGTTGATTTCATACCTTGTATCCGAGCTGATGCGTGCTCTGGGTGCTTTATTACAATGAAGCTTTTTGCAAGGCTCACATTAAAAAATAACACTAAATACTGAGGTTGTTTTAAATCAGAGTTTAATTTTTCCACCATCTCCCGTTGTTCTTATTAGGAAGGCACGCAATTCTTCATAAAGATAGTGACCTCCAGTGTAAAGGTTTGAGCAAGTACAAAATTGAGAATTAATGATGAAGCCGATTATTTTTAGAGAAGTCTAAAAATGAGGCATAAAGTAATGAACTGTGCTGAGACCCAAGGGTGCAATGGTCATGGCTTAGAGAGGCTTGGAAAATTGACTGTGCTTTCTCCATGCACCTTTTATTCATCAGAGCCTCCTTGCTCTCTAGGGGGCCTTTTCAGATCCAAGGTGGCTGACCAGCCCCAGAAAAGCTTCCTGGGGGACCAGGAACATGCCTGCTAGTACCGCCCACCCCTGTGCCCGACACTGTGTGTCGCCACTTACCCCTTCAGCCTAGTGGCCCCTCTCAGATAAAGGGCACAATTCAACTGTTGGTCATCTTGGGCCATAGAAGTTACCAGGAATCGACACAGGATCTGGTTTCTGTGTGGAAAACCACCCTGAAATTCACTCTTTAACCTGTTATGCAGCTATATGACTGGCTCCTGTTTAGATAAGCTTCTAAAGTCTATTGGCATCTTCTTGTCAGCGGTGAGCAGGTGAGTTCTATTTCTAGAGAGATTCTGGGGTCTCAGTTGCATATGGGGCTCATGGTATCTTTGGCATTCACACCACATGGGACTACCGTGTTTTCTATCACACGGGTAGAAATCTGTATTTTAAGCCTGGCTAGGGGGCGCCTGGGGGGCTCAGATTTCGTTTAAGCGTTTGCCTTTGGCTCAGGTCATGATCTCCAGGTCCTGGGATCGAGTCCCACATTGGGCTCCCTGCTCAGCGGGGAGTCTGCTTCTCCCTCTTCCTCTGCCTCTCCCCACTGCTCCTGCTCTCTCTCTCTCTCTCTCTCTCTCTCTCTCTCTCTCTGTATCTCTCTGTCTCAAATGAACAAATAAAAAATTCTTTTAAAAAAGCCTGGCTAGATCCAGGGGTTCAAAAAATGTCATCAGTACTTGGTCTCTCCCTCTCTCTTCTCCATTTCTCAGCTCTGTTCCCCTCTGTATTCTTTGGTCTCCATGTGCTATGGCCCTCAGAAGCTCCACACATGCATCCTGCTTGCTCAGCCACACCCAAAAGAGAGCATATCTTTGCCAGGGGTTCCCAAGAAAGCCCCAGGTGTTGAGCCTCATTGGACCAACTGAGGTCACATGGCTAGTCCCAACCAATTACTGCAGTCAGAATGATGGCATGCCTTGTAACCCGCTCACCCTGCCAAAACCACACGGCCCATGAGTGGCAGAGGGGTGATTCCCCAAGGGATAGTTGAGGTGCTATTTCAAGAAGAAGAGGAACAGAGTCTGGAAAACTAAACACAAGAAACGTCCAACGTATTTAACTTTTGCACTTGCTGCTAGAAGGAAGAACTTCCAAATTATTGTGTCACTTTGCCCATGAACACTTCCTGGATAGGAGGGCAAAGTATGAGAAGAAAGGACCTCGAGATCCCTTAGAAAGGTGAGTGCCAAGGAACATGACAAGTGTCTTTTTTTTTTTTTTTTTTTTTTTTGACAGAGAGAGACATAGCGAGAGAGGGAACACAAGCAGGGGGAGGGGGAGAGGGAGAAGCAGGCCTCCCCGCGGTGCAGGGAGCCCGATGCGGGACTCGATCCCGGGACTCTGGGATCACGACCTGAGCCGAAGGCAGACGCTTAACGACTGAGCCACCCAGGCGCCCCGACAAGTGTCTTATTTCTACTCTGGTATTCCCCTGGACAGTAATCGGTACCTTAGAGAATTTCTGGAAGTTGGAGGCGTCCTAACACTCTTGGAAATACTTGGGCTGGAGAAGATCAGGGAGGAGGACAAGAAGGAATCCATCAAGCTACTTCAGGTTATTGCAAACCATGGCAGGAAGTACAAGGAGCTCATCTGTGAAAGCTATGGTGGGTACTGTGTTACGACGGGGGTGGCGATTCCATGTCTCCCTAGGGGCCTGGGTGAAATGGTGGTGGCACCCAGTACCGCTCTAGGAAAATGTTGCACGGAAGCACTTTGTACAGTGGAGTCAATTAGCTCCTGTCCGTGTCACCACCACGAGAGTCAGATTTATGATTTCCTTGATTCATCATTTGCTCCAATCTTTCCATGGTGGTTTTGGAAATACTTCTCCATTTTAAATATATCCTCTTTCATGCATCCATTCAACAAAGATTTATTAAGCCATTGCCTAAAATCCTTTGTGAAATTGAGTTATGAATAACTCTAGAAATAAAATGGAAATAAAATCATTGTCATTCATTGAATATGTGTGATATATGTATATATATCACATATATATATAGTGCTGGGGATACAAAGATGAATAAAATACAGTCCTTATCCTCAAAGAGCTTACAGTGTGGTGTGGTGAGAAGGGTAAACAACCCTGTAATTTCCCTATGTTCCATCAAGTGCTCTGATCGAGGTGGTTGGGGAGGATACCATCCCCCACATGTCCCTTTTTCAAAGCACTTCCCTCGCTGCACTTTTCATCATGGTTCTCCTCTACGTCTCCCCATGGCCTCTCTGAGCCTCAGTGTATATATCCATTAAATGGGACTAACACCTCCCTCTCAGTATAGTTTCTGGGATTAAATGAGGCAGCCTTTGTTAGAACATTTAGTAAACTACTGAACGCTGCACGTGTTAATGATCATATGGCAATCCCAAACGTGTGTTTAATTGTACATTTTGCGGAGCCATTTTAAACTTTAGAACAGATTTTGACAAGCTGACATGCCTGTGTTGAAATCAAATCCTCTGGCCACAGAGCCATGAAGCAAACAAGACAGGGAGGCAGCATGAGAACTGAGCCTTGATTCTGCTTCGCTTGAACGAGCCTCGTTCACATATCTCAGTCGTCCCCTGCCCATATTATGTCATCTTGAGTGAGGATTGTTTTCATAATCCCCTTCTAATTGAGCATTTCCTCTCTTCTGTGCTCAGGTGTACGATCCATAGCAGAATTTTTGGCAAAGTCTAAATCCGAAGAGACCCAGGAAGAAGTGCAGCTTCTGTTGGATTCTTTGGTCCACGGAAACCCCAAGTACCAGAATCAAGTCTACAAAGGTCTAATAGCTTTGCTGTCCTGCACATCACCAAAAGCTCAGCAGCTGTCCCTGCAGACTCTCAGGACTGCGCAGGTGAGCCCCAGCTGCATGCTCCCGTGGTTCTGATTCAACCCACACACTAACCTTAAAATTACCTACCACAGTTGCACTTCAGACAGGCATGAGAAACAGAGCTCAGCCTCCCACGGCACGTCTGCTGTTCAATGAGTGTTACTTCCAGAAGGCCAAGGAGGAGCAAAGAGTTCATGTCGCCCAGCAGAGTGATTTGTCCTGTTTACTTAAGGATCAGAAAGATGTTGGCAGACTTAAAAGTGGTTGAGACAAGCAACAAAGATGATGAAAAGACTGTAGAAAAGCTTACAGGAGTCAATTTGGTAGGGAAGGAATCACGGTGCACTTGTAGACAGCGCAGGAGGGAAAGGCCAGATCGCCAGGGCTTGGGAAGGCTCCTCCTCTCCTCCTGGCTTCTGCCTTCCTCTCAGTGCCCTGGAATGTGAGTGGGATCCGATTTGGGACATGGTGGCCGCCTGAAGACACCGCGCTGGTAAGGAGGGAAGAGAGGCTCCAAGAGTGGTCTTGAGATAAATTAGCAAAAGCTCTCAAAACAGCTCCACTCTGGGTGGAGGCAGGGAGACAAGAGGTCGAAGGGATGGTGAGGCCTGCCCTGGGGCAGGGGGAACAGGGGCGACTGGGTCAGACGGACATTTCTGAGGCGGAGCGCGTGGGACGTGGGGCAGTAAAAGAAAAGCAGGCAAAAATGACAGCCAGCTTTGGACTTGGCAGCAGGCTGAGCTGTGTGCCACCAGGAGAGAGCAGGGAAAGATCGATCAGATTTGGGAAGAGTTAGGTTTTGACTCAGTGAGACTTGGTGGCTCCCAAGTGCCATCTCCCAGCCGGCTGCAGAGGACATAAGTAGGTCATTTGTGTAAAAAACAAAACAAAACAAACAAACAAAAAAACGAATCCTGGGCCTCCTTCCCATAGATTCTGACAGCTTTCAGACGGCCTTTGGTAATGCTTTTTCTTTTTAAGCTCCCCAAGTAATTCTGATTCCTAGCTCAAACTGAGGAATTACTGTTGAGGACATCTAGTAGAGATACCCACCGCACAGTAGAAAATAAAAGTCTGAAGCCTCGGAAAGAGACCCGAGATGAGGATGGCAGTTGGTTTTCCTGAGCAGAGAAAGGATCACTGAAACAGCAGAAGTGAGGGAGGTCAGCCAGGTAAAATGAACCAGAAGGAGAATCACTGGCATTTAAGAGATGAGCTGAGGGGTGCCTGGGTGGCTCAGTTGGTTAAGCGACTGCCTTCGGCTCAGGTCATGATCCTGGAGTCCCGGGATCGAGTCCCGCATCAGGCTCCCTGCTCGGCAGGGAGTCTGCTTCTCCCTCTGACCCTCCTCCCTCTCATGCTCTCTGTCTCTCATTCTCTCTGTCTCAAATAAATAAATAAAATCTTTAAAAAAAAAAAAGAGAGATGAGCTGAAAAAAAAAAAGAGATGAGCTGAGCAAGAAGGTCCAACAAAACAGCTGGATTATCATTATTATTTCCGGTTTCCATTTATTAAGTGCCTCCTACCTGCTAGGCACTGTCCCAGGGGCTTACTTCCATGATCTCTTTTAGTCTTCACAATAGCTGATGGAGGCAGACATTTTATTTTATTTTTTTAAAGATTATTATTTTTTTATTTATTTGAGAGAGAGAAAGAGCATGAGCACGGGAGAGGCAGAGGGAGAGAGAAAGGGAGAAACAGACTCTCTGCTGAGCAGGGAGCCCGATGTGGGGCTTGATCCCAGGACCCTGGGATCATGACCTGAGCTGAAAGCAGACGCTTAACTAACTGAGCTACCCAGGCACCCCGGAGGCAGACATTTTAAAGATGAGGTAACTGAGCCTTGAGGGGTGTCCAGTGACTTACTCCAGGCCACACACTAAGGAAAAGGTATGTACTAAGCAGGCACTGAAATCCAACTCTCCCTAACTCCAGAGTTCTTAGTCGTTCCATATACCACTCTGCCTCTTTGAAAAAGAGCAATGGAAGCCGTTAAAGGAAAACGAGGGAAAAAACGCCTGTAAAAGTGAAGGGAAAAGAGAACATGGAGAACATGACCAGCTGGGTCAAATACCACAGAGAGGCTAAGTGTAGGTAGAACAGAAAGATGGTCCCCGCGTGAAAAGTTTGGGTGAATGTTGGTCCCATGGCAGGAGAAGTTAAATTGCAGCAGCCTGTCAAAGGATGCACGAGAATGAAGTGGCTTCCCCTGGGCTCCTGGGAGGCTTAGGTGTAGAGGGAGAATAAGAGCAATATCCGAAGGGCAATTGTGTGCAAAGTGGGTGAGCTTGAGGATGTTTCACGCTAAAGGACAGGAACCAATGCCCGGATAAATGTTGAAGAGGTAGAAAAGACGGGCTCCCCAGTCGCTTGAGGTCCCTGAGGGAGAGAAGATTTAGGATCCTGGATGAGTTCAGCTCTCCCCAGCCGGTGCCCACCCTCCCCCCAGCAAGGTAGCCGGCTCACCCCAACTGAATGCCTCCTGAACTAGAGGGGTCAGTGGCAAGCTCAGCAGACTGTCTTTCGGATCCTTGGCTGCCATATCTGGCCCTCCTCTGGAGAAATGTACTCATACAGTGCAGCGGCCAAGGCCCAGTGACTCACCACTACCCTCCCTCTCCCCATTCGGCCAGGCTGCCTAGCTGTTTGCAAGCCTGCTTTTCCTTTCTTCCAGGTGTACTAGATCTTAAGTAACCCCCTTGTCCTGTTGTCTTGTCTCGTCAGTCGATCATTGGAACCACCCACCCCAGCATCGTGGAGTGCGTGCTGAAGGTGCTGCGCACAATGCACCTCGAAGTCCAGTATGAAGGTAGGGGCGCAGCTGGGTCTGCTCCTGCTCACACATACAGAAGCTGACCGTGAGAACTAGACAGACTAGCTCTAACAGTTTTCTCTTAGTCACAAAGAACCTTGTTGGGTATCCTGGAGAGCCTTGGCAGCTGGTAGATGCTGGTTCGGTCTGATCTGCAAGTTATTCAGAAAATGACAGTCACTTTCTGTACTTCGAATCAGCCACGTGGTACTTTTTTTTTTTTCTTATTTTAATCCCCATACATTACATCATTAGTTTTAGATGAAGTGTTCCATGATTCATTGTTTGTGCATAACACCCAGTGCTCCATGCAGAATGTGCCCTCCTCAATACCCATCACCAGGCTAACCCATCCTCCCACCCCCCTCCCCTCTAGAACCCTGTTAGTTTTCCAGAGTCCATTGTCTCTCATGGTTCGTCTAGCCACGTGGTACTTTAACATTGGCTATGATCCACCTGGGTCCAGAGCTGGCTGGTTCCCAGTCTTTTTTCTTTTTTTTAAGATTTTATTTATTTTTATTTTTGCAAGAGGGAGGGAGGTAGAGAGAGAGAGAGAGAGTGCACAAGCAGTGGGGAGGGGCAGAGGGAGAAGCAGACTCTCCGCTGAGCAGGCGCTGAGCAGGGAGCCTGACTCGGGACTCAATCCCAGGACCCTGGGATCATGACCTGAGCCAAAGGCAGATGCTTAACCAACTGAGCCATCCAGGCGCCCTCTGGTTCCCAGTTTTATGTGGTACTTCCCCTCTAACCAGAAATCACCCAGAGGACTCCACTTGTAAGGAACTAAACTAAACAGTGGTAGTATTGATAAGTTTGCATGTATTCAGTCCTCCTATGTGCCTGCTACTTTCCGAGCATCATTTCATTTAATTCTCAAAAGAACCACAAGAGTACAGAGCCTGACACACATTAGGTATTCAGATGCTCAAATGAACGAACGGTGGAAGTAAGTATTTTTATGTTTTTCAAGCTAAAGCATTGAAGCACAGAGATATTAAGTATGCTTCCCCAGGTTATACAGCTAACCAGAGTCAAACCAGATCTGAATCCAAAGTATATGCTTTTATTTTTTTAAAGTGATCCTTTTTTAATTTTTTTTCATTATTTTTATTTATTTATTTATTATTTTGTGGGCAGCAAAGCAAAGTTTATTGAATGATAGTACAAAGCTCCCAAAGAGGGAGGGGACCCGAGAGGGTTGCCCTAAAGTGGTCCTTTAAAAAAAAAAAGAAAAGATTTATTTATTTATTTGAGAAAGAGAGGGAGTACATGCATGCGCGTGGTGGGGGGGAGGGGCAGAGGGAGAGGGAGAAAGAGTCTTAAGTGGACTCCAAGCTCAGCTCTCATGACCCTGAGATCATGGCCCTGAAATCAGGACCTGAGCCGAAACCAACTAGATGCTTAACAGACTGTACCACCCAGGTGCCCCCAAAGCGTATGCTTTTAACGTGAACCTATGGCAGGTGTTTATAGGATGTTTCCTTCCGTGTTCCTATAGTGGTTCAGAGAAGGAAGATTCTGTTTTCAACAGGAGGGAGCAAAGAAGGGATTGCTGAGAAGGTGTTTGAGCTGACCTTGGAGAATGGGAAGGATTTGGGAAAGTGGAAAGGAGCAGAGGAGGGCATTCTGGAAAGGGGAATGGTATAAACGAAGTTCCGGGCATACAGAAGTACAAGATGTATCTGAGGAATGACAGGTAGATAATTTAGTGGAAGTTTGGTAGAGGTCTCAGCCCAGGAAGACCTAGAAAGGTAGGCTAGGACCAGACCGAGGAGTACCTTGAATGCCAGATGGAATAGTGGGCACTCTGTCCAGGAGGTTACCTGGGTGGTGGTATCCGCAGTAGGTCAGAACCACAGGGAGACTCGAGGCTTGAAGCCATTTGGGAGGCCTTTTGGGTTGTTCAGATAACAAAGTAAGAATGCCCCCATCTAGCCAAATATAGAGGCCCTGGCAAGAGGGAATGGACAGGACTAGGAAGTGCCTGGGTGTGGAGAATGAGGTGGCATAAGGGGAAAGGGCAGGGCTGAAGAGGCGGGGACACAGAGGCCCATTATGCAGGAAAAGTGTGGACATCAGCAAATATTACGATCCCTGTGTCCAAGATGGCAGGCTGGTGGAGCCCCGGATCCAGGAAGTCTGGGAGGGGCAAGAGGAGCAGGCAGGGACCAGGGATCAGGTATGCATGTGAGACCCTGGGGAAGACCAGCAAAGGTCCAGAGGGTGACTTCAAATATCGATTGTTTTTCAGAGGCAGTGTTGAAATTGAATGTTGGTCCGTTTTTCCTGCAGTAGCATGCCATTTTTGTATTTGTTTGACCCCTGCAGGTGTGCTTGGGAAGATGGACCTTGTATGGTGAGAAGTAATGCTGTGTTAAAATCAATTACCAGTTGGAGGAGAGTCTCCTAGCTGGGGAGGAGTTGCCAGAGAGGGGTAGGGTAGTGGAGGGAACTGAGTAAAGGTCAGACCCAGCAGCAGAGAGTTGTCACTGCATGGGAGCAAGGGTGAGGGGGGTGACGTGGCAGTGGACTCATGTTAGGAAATGTAATCAAGCAGCCCGTAAAGATTACTGGGTGGCACTGAGCCTCCTTCCCTGCCACCACCTCCACGGGGCTCACATGACTACTCCTACTCATCATCACTTCTTAGCTTATGCCTTTCTTCTCCAAGGTCTTCTGTCACCTGCCTTCCAGCCCTGCCCAGATGTCAGCCCTCCTTCCTTTGTACCACCCTGCACCCTCCTCCCTGCCAGTACCCCCAGCCCTGGAGCAGTCATTTCCAGAATACACTGCACAGTTTCAGGCACTTCTTTTTTTTTTTTTTTAAGATTTTATTTACTTATTTGAAAGAGAGAGTGCAAGCAGGGGGAGAAGCAGAGGGGCTGGATGAGGGAGGGGAAAGAATCTGAAGCAGACTCTGCGCTGAGTGCAGAGCCTGGGGGCGGGGGGGGGGGGGGGGGGGGCTCGATCTCACAACCTTGCGATCCCGAAACCAAGAGTTGGAGGCTTAACTGCGCCCAGCGGACGCCCCAGTTTCAGTGCACTTCTTACCACTTCTGTCCTTATATCCTCAGAGCAGTCTCTGGCCTAGGGTAGGTCCTTGTTGCATGTTTGTGGAGGGAGAGAGGGAGGGAGTTCTGTCCATACACCCTGAACCCTGGCAGAGGCAGAGAAGTGTGAAGCTTTCTCACTGCCCTTTTGGTTTGATGTCTGCTCCTGTGATAACAGTGAAACTGTGAGCCTCAAAATAATTTCAAACAGGCCAGACTCATAACCGGTGCTCAAGAAATGTCTGTTGAATGAAGGAATTATTCTTTTTCACCAGGGACTTCAAAAGGGTCTTGGTGTAACTGGGAACATAGAGCGTGTGTGTGTGCGGTTGTCCACTAGGAGGAGCTATTCCACACGCTCGGCAGAGTGGAAGTTTAGGGAGCGAACGCAGCGTTCAGCTCCCACTGAAAATCCTCCAAAGGCAGGGCAGGGAAGGTCTGACAGGTCTTAGATGTGGTCCAACAGTGCCGAACAGGGAGGACCAGGGAGAAATTTCTCTGAGTTGGAGGACACCAAATTGCAAGACCAAGGTAAAGTCCCCCCAGGGTGATGGCAACCGTCACGGTTGAGAGAAGCCTGTGACCAGGAGGGATGGGTGGTATAGCTGAATGGACTAACCTTAAAAGGACAGGGTTGGTTTGTTTTTAAAAAACAAATACTGAGTGAACATCTGCGGTGTGCCAAGTACTGTGCCAGGTACTGGGGGTGCGGGGGCGGTGGTTGTGTTTGTACTGAGAAGAAAAAGGAATAGTTGAGAAGGAGGAGGGAAGAAGGACGCACTCCACCTCCCACGCCGGGAGGGGGTAGTTGACATTGTTCCCCTGAGAAGGCTACAGGGAAAGTGCAGTTCTCAGGGAGAGTGCCGTGACAACAGGGTGGAGAGGCTTGGGAGGCTAAGTGACTCTTTCCCTTGCAGCATGGGGCCAGGGGTGCCGGAGCCCGGTGGCGGCTTCACCTCTTTTCTCATTGAGAACTGCACCTCTGCGCCTCCGAATCTACCTGCCTGCCTGGCCTGTTACCCACGTTCTCGGCCCTCTTTCCCATCTCAGCTGAGTGTCCCTGCTCCTGCCGCAGCCAGCTCTTCTGCTTCTGCTTCTGCTCTGAAGCACATTCATAAAGGCTTCTCATAAACAGAGGCTCTCTCTTTCTCTCTAGAGGATCATCTCCGGTGACATGCAAATATGTTCTGTATCTCCCATCTTAAAAAAAAAAAAAAAGCCCCTCCTTGGGGACTTTAATCTATGGATTAAAAGAAATTTAAAAGACACCCCCCAGATTAAATTCAGTGATAGCGTTTAAGGATGCATAGTGCTCCTTGACCCCAAGTTCCACTCCAGCTACTCATTTTTCCATTTTCTTCCTACTTGATCTCTCAGCTGCTTGTGACCGAATTGGCCCAAAGCAACTTTTCTTCTCTGGGCTTCTGTGACACCACTTCCAGTTCTCCTCCCTCAAGCTGGGTCTGCCATGTTTGTTATGATTGCTTTGCTACTTTCTCCTATTTCTCTACCTGACTGTTGGGTCAGCCTACTTCTCACCTCTTTACCCACACCTTCTGCTCGCATGATTTTGTCTAGTCCCCAGCTTTACACACCACATATATGTTATATATTCAGGTACCAGACTGTGTCTCTGGCCTGACCTCTCCCCTGAAATCTCCCCGGACATCTGAAATTTATAGCCAAAACAGAACTCTTGATTTTCTTCCCAAATCCTACCCTGTCTCCTATTTTCACTAAAAGGTGCCACCACCAACCCAACTGCTCAACTAAAAAGTGTAGGCCTAGTACCAAATGATCTGCTTTCTCTCACCTCCCACTGTGTCCCACCCTTACCAAGTCCTCTCGGCTCTGTCCCTACTTAGAGTCTCTGTCCCCACCACCACTGTGATCGCCCGTGGCTAACTCACCATCCTGTCGCTAAATTCCGCTTCCATCCTGGCCTCC